GGAGCCCATTGACACAACAGACAACTTGGCCACCCTGGAGGTGGAGGGCAACGCGGCTTTGGACGGCACGAGAGTGTTGACACTCAGTCGGACAAGGTTGTCCTTCCAGAAGTTGAGTGGGGGGCAAGGCGCAGGTGTCGCGGGCCCTGACCTTGTGTGGCAACAAGCGTCTCGGGCAGGGGCACAGGTGCCGAGGGCCGGGAGGGAGCAGGAGTGTTGCCACCGAATTCACACAGGGTTGTGGAATTTCTTGTGGCGCCATGGAGTGGGGGGGCGGATCAAGGGCAGGATTGGTTTGGCCCACTTGGGCGACGGTCAAAAACCCATGTGTAAAAGTTTAGTAAGGAGCATATTCATGTGTTCTGGCGCTGCGCGCGCGAAAGGGCGCCGGAAGGTTTGGCGAAAGGGCTGGCCACAATGATGATAAAGGATGCTGATTAAGCACTCTGAATGGTGTGAACATTTTTTCAATGCTGTAGAAATAGCCTTTGGACTGTTGTTTATGCCATATGTGCCCCTCACGCCCCGAAACAGGCCCAAATGTTATTTGGCCTTGGCCGAAATAGCTTTTGGGCAACCCCCAACAACGGCATACCAACATGCAGCTTGGTCCACAAAATGCAAACCAGGGCGCCTCCAAAACCTGTTTTTTGGCAAACCAACCCAACTCATTTGGGCACTTTCCGCCCCTTGGCCTGCAAACCAACCCAACACCTGCCCGTTATTTCCCAGTGCCCCAAACAGGTTTACGGGGTGCCTGGTCTGCATTCTCAAGGAAAAGACTCATTTGGACACTTTCGGCCCCTTGGCCTGCAAACCAAGCCAACACCTGCCCAAATGTTATTTTCCAGCGCCCAAAACAAGTTTTGGGGGCCCCCCTCAAGGTTTCGGCCCCTTGGCCTGCAAACCAACCCAGAACCTGCCCAAATGCTATTTTCCAGTGCCGAAAACAGGTTTTGGGGGTGCCCTGGTCTGCATTCTCGAGGAAAGACCATCCTGCACAAATGTTATTTTCCAATGCAGGCCAAGGGCCCGAAAGTGTCCAAATGAGTCTTTTCCGTGAGATGCAGACCAGGGCACCCCCAAAACCTGTTTTGGGCACTGGAAAATAACATTTGGGCAGGTGTTGGGTTGGTTTGCAGACCAACCAGCAAAAAGTGTTCAAATGTTTTGCTTGAAGATGTGTGGATGGACAGATGAGAATACAGACCAGGGCGCACCCAAAACCTGTTTTGGGCAGTGGAAAATAACATTGGGGCAGGTTTCGCTTTGCAGGCCAACAAGCCAAAAGTGTCCAAATGAGTCTTTTCCTTGAGACTACATACAGGCCAGCGCACCCCCAAAACCTGTTTTGGCGCTGGAAAATAACATTTGGGCAGGTGTTGGGTTGGTTTGCAGGCCAAGGGGCCGAAAGTGTCCAAATGAGTCTTTCCGTGAGAGACCAGGGCGCCTCCAAAACCTGTTTTGGGCACTGGAAAATAACATTTGGGCAGGTGTTGGGTTGGTTTGCAGGCAACCAGCCAAAAGTGTCCAAACGTGTTCAAATGAGTCTTTCCTTGAGAATACACAGACTAGGGCACCCCAAAACCTGTTTTAGGCATTGGAAAATAACACTCGGGCTGGGTCGTTGGTTCCCAAAGCATGCTTTCGACGCATGGCTTTACTGGTGTTGTCGACGGAGTGTCGACATGTGCGCCCCACTGTGCAAACAAAAAGACAAAATAATTGCGACCAACGCCCGCTTGAGCCAAATGTTTTGCAAGTGGACCCTTACAATGAGTTCTTTTGCACAAATTCAAGGTGCACTCCCTTTTTCGTGTTTAGTGCCAAAATCGGGAGGGTTGGCCCAGGTTTGATTTCTCCATGGGCTGGTGCAGATCCCAAATTTCCGGTCGAACATAGGGTTTTGGCTACATCGCCCTTTGGACGATCTCAGGATCCATACAAGTGGCGAGATCCCTGAAATGTGTTGGACGCAGGGCCATGTGGCAAGCGCGTCCCAACGACCGGCTTGTCCGTTGGTAATGGCAGCTGATGCGACCCGCCCAGTGCGGCCATCTTGATGGAGCTAGTCCTGACCCTACACGGCAACCAAGTCATGTTGGGGGCATCGCACGTGAAACCAGAAAAAAAAGGCCATCCCGCGGTTTCTCCAAACAAAGCTGGTGGACGCTACGATAGAATACCCGGCTACCAGATGGGATGAGACACTCCTGACCGGGGGAATTGGAATTTGCGGCTAACCAGAACCACTACACGGAGATCGCCTCCAGGCTCGTGGCGGCAAGACTCTTCCAGGTGGTCCACGCAGCTCAACGGAGCCCACGCACCTGCGGCGACGGGACCACACGGGGATGTGACATCTTGCGCGAAAGGGGCCAATTGGAGCGCGCCTGGGAAGAAAGGACGAAGATGGCCAAACCGAGGTTGGCGTTGCAGGGGATGGGGGTGAAATCTGACATCCACCTGGTCAGCGCCCTCCCAGAACCAGGTGAACGGACGGCCATGAAAACCACGAAGAAAAGCACGGTGGATGGCTGGGAGGATGAGGTGGAGGAACGGGGAGAACCCCGCTCCTTCCTTCCACAAGAGGGCAAGGGGCGGGAGGATTCCCTCGCTGTGGGAGGGGCATATCGACTCCCACCAGCTGCTGAGGGGAGCAGCCCAGTGAAGCTGGGCCAATCCTCCAAATTTTGGCACTAACCGCTTTCACAGGGAGTGCATCCTTTGAGTCGTTGAAACTATCAGTAGCGCCAATGTGGCACTTCGATGAGTTAGGAGGGTATGATGACTCGATCTTTTTCGGCTGCTCAAGGGTGCTGTAGCTAGCGGCTCTTATAGCTTGCCAACGTCTTCCTGCGCTCAGTCGGTACGCCTGTTGAAGGGCAAGCGCAAGGATTCGGATGAGGCGAGCCGTCATCTCATGGCACACAACGCAATTGGCAGGCTTCGCAGGGAAACCAACAGGACAACCAATTGCATTTTTGGCTGCCGACAAGAGACATGTGAGAGGCAAAGGTTACAAGCGGCAGGTCCAGTCCCTGCAAGTCGTGGCGTCAGTGAAGCTGCAGGTCCTGTCACAGGAGTTACCTGACTGCGAGATTGCCAGCGAAAAGTCATAGCGTTCAACGCTTCGGCAGGACAAGATCCGGGCGCAGCGCGGCTCGCCGCCCTTTGCGTCGGCTCTGAGTGATGCGATGGAAGCTGCGGGGAGGCACAGTAGGTCTGGCAGCCGGTGCGGCACAGTGGCAACGGTGGAGTTCAGCTTTTCAAATTGAGACAGAGTGCCGCTGTCTGCATTGTTTGCATTTGAGGCTGAGGCTGCGGCGCTCTTTGCGTGCGGGACACAGGGGGTCTGTCTGAGGGATTGGCCCTGAAGATTGCCATTTCGCAGGCGTGAGAAGCGGATGAAGCAGCCGCTGGGCCAAGCCAGCACCTCAGTAAGGAGCATGTGACACGTGTTACAGCGGCGGTGGGACAGTGGGACAGTGAGAAAGTGGGGCGCAGGTTTTACCTGGGCAACCCATTTTGGGGTTTTGAAATTTGTGACAACCACACCCTCATAGTAATGCACTCAGGCATTGCTGGTCCTGGGGCAGGTTCAGCTCACAGGCATCCAGCGCGGGGCCTGGAAATGCAAAGCCAACAACACATGATGTGCGCGGCAAAAAAAAGGCTTTGTGCCGAAACAGATGAAGGCAACACTCTGATGGTTTTCCGTTTTTTTGATGCATGCAACCTGTTTGCAGTGGTGCAAAAACCGCGCTGTACAGCTCCTCGACCCTGAGGGTCGACGACGCCTTGAAGACGGCTGGCGAGGCGGCAGTTTCGGCGCTTGAGGATCTCCCACAAACTAGAGAGATGAGGCGATGGAGATATTCGAAGAGCTGGGCAGCGAGAGGGATAAGGCCAACGTCATGTGCCTGGAGGCTTCGGCTTGCATTCTTTGCATTCTCTTTCTAATGTCTTACTATCACCAGTCGCCAATGACTGAACGGGTCAGTCCGCACATGTGGGCTGCTTGAGTCGTGCTGTTGCTGGTTGCTCGCGAGGCAGACACGCACTTTACCAACGGAAACAGCAACAAGGCATTAGTGCTGGTGAATAAGGCCGGGCATTTTGGTTTTCTCGTCTAGCTATGTTTCTGGTTGAACAAAAGCGATTTTTCTCGAGGCACTCGCCATCTTCCAAGAGTATCGGGATTCCCGCGGCGAGTGGATTGCGCCCGGCTGCCTGGAGTGTTGCCTCTCTTTGGAGGTAAGGTGACCTCTGGCGTGTCCCCCAAAGATGTGGCTCCGATAGACAAACTGGACTGAGGATGAACATCTTGGAACAGATCACCGGACCTCCGGATGTTCGGAGCTGAGCATCTTGATCCCAATGCTATCCTCGAGATGTGTAGTTCGCAGGCTTTGCCGTCGCAGTCGGACTGGACGGATGAGCAGTGGGCGCAATGGAACGCCTGGCCGCGAAGCTGCAGCCAGTCGCACTCTTCAAGTTTCAGGGGTCTTTGTTTTGAGGGTTGTCGGCGGTTGTTGGGTTTTTGCTGCCGGTTCTGAGGCAGCAGCAGCAACAGCAGCAGCAGCCGTCTGGTCAGCTGCCGCAGGCCATCCAGCGCCAGACGCAGGAGAGAATTGGCTTCGCCAAGCGCTTTTGCTGCCTTCTCACTTGATGGCAATCTCCCGAGCGTAGCGACCTGCCGGCTCTCATGATCTTACTGGAATTACTTGCAGATCGTGCATTCCCTCGCGGAAGCTACTTCCTCGGTTTCCAGAAACAACTTGCCCGCGGAAGGCTCGCGGAAGACACCTACATAGACACATGCTCGCGGAAGGTTTCGCGGAAGGCGGAAGGGGCCCAAACGTCCAAGCAAATCTAAACGGAACAAGAACCACTCATTTTGGCCGCATGAGCCAGGAACTCTTGAACATGCTTGCGTGGTTATTCACGGATCCTTAATGCATGTGTAGCTCCTTCCGGTCCAGGATTTGTTTCTCAATTGACTCCCATGCGGGTTTGGGAAGGGAAGAGAAAGAAAGCTCCGCACGCACGTGTCAGTTTTCAGATTCAGATCGGCGTGAAGGCGGCCTGGTTACTTCAGAGCAGGAGCAGGCGGTGAGGCGACGTACTGATCCAGGGCAGAAGTTCGGGTGGCCCAGTGAGGGGTTTGTGCAAAACTGATGGTAAGCTGGTAAGCTGGTGGTTTGGCTTGTTTTCGCCTTCGTTCACACATGCTTTGCTTAGCACTTCTTGTCTGTGTGTGTGTGTTAATTAGGTGCGCGCCTTGTGACATCGATTAGTTATTGATGAATCAACGCATATATCAAGGACGAGCGAAGAGACCCAAAGAATACTGAAACAATCGATGCTAAGCTGCCCCATTCAACAGAAATCATAATCATCCTTTCATTGCCTTGCTTGAGCAATGTTTTGGTGCTCCGAGGGAACCGCAATATGAGCTATCGAGTCCCAGAATAGTGCAACACGTATGACGCTGGCTTTGCATAGAGTTGGTTTGGCTTGGCTGCTTGGGCTTGCTCGGTTGCCAAGTTGTGGATGCTAGCGGAGTGCTTTGCATCTCAATGTGTGGAGTCAGCCCAGAGGAGGTGATGACGATGATGAGGATTGGGATGATAAGGATGAGGATGATGATGAGGACGATAAGGATGAGGATGATGATGAGGACGATAAGGATGAGGATGATGATGAGGATGATGATGAGGATGAGGATGATGATGAGGATGATGATGAGGATGAGGATCATGATGAGGATGAGAAGGATGATGATGATGATGATGATGATGATGATGATGATGACGATGATGATGAGGACGAGGATCATGATGAGGATGATGATGAGGATGATGAGGATGACGAGGACGAACTATAAGGTCACGGCCTCGCGAGCGCACGTGGTTTTCGGCTCGCAGGCGCACGTAAATTTGGTCTCGCCCGCGCATGTAGAGGGCTGGATTTCGTGGTAGGTGCGGTACTTTGGGCAAGTTTTTCGTGGGTCTCGCCGGCGCATGTGATACCGCGCATGTCCCCCAAAAAGGCAAAGCACGTGAGCCTCGCACGCGCATGTAAGCAAAAACGCACTGAGCGGGTGCGCTTGAGCAGGCGCGCTTCCTCTTTCGCGTGCGTGGATGCAGTGCTGAGCGGGTGCGCTTGAGCAGGCGCGCTTCCTCTTTCGCGTGCGTGGATGCAGTGCTGAGCGGGTGCGCTTGAGCGGGCGTGCTTACCATCCCCCCCCCCCTGTGTTTGGTTCACGGAACACTTGATCTCCTGCAACATTTGGCTCAAGGCCCCTTTTGTGTAACATTGCATCATTCATGATCGCGTGAAGCAAAAGAACCTTAGCAGGCCGCTTACAGGATTATCCACAAGACAATCCACCAGGGACAATCCATCCTCCAATCATCCACATTGGCATATTGGATTCTCTCCGGAATAGATCCAGGGACCAACAAAACGACCTCTACTACCACAGGGTACCAGTTCCCTTCTGGGATAGGCACCTGGGCCTCAATTTGTGGTAGCGGAGCGGGTTTTCCGCAGAGATTCAAGGGAAGATGTCATCCGATGGAGAAGGCTTCATGGAAGCCTATTCAAGTATGGCCAAAAATCCAGGCTATACGGAGGAAACACTAAATTTATCGATGACCGCCAAGCAGCCGCCATCGTACGACGGAAAAGTCAGCTGGTTCAGGTATGAAGAACTCGTGGACGACTGGGTGACCATCACAACGGTGGAATCACCCAAGAGAGGACCTCTGCTCAAAAGCAGATTGACCGGTGATGCATATATGTACAAGGCGGTCCTCCAAAACGACCTTTTGCAAGATCCTGATGAAGGAGTCAACTATTTCAAGAACACGCTGAAGAAGTACTTTTTGAAAGGTGCGACCAACGTGTATCTGCACAGGCTCCTCAGTTTCTTCAACCATAGAAGGCAGAACCAAGAGTTCCTCATTTTTACCTCAAAATTCGAAATCCTTCTTATGAGATTGAAGGCAGCATGGATGGACTTGATGCCCGTTTTCACGGCACAGTCCCCATCATTTCGACAGTCCGTACAGGACGCAAATGCAAGAACAATTGCTCGACATCAGCAAGCAGCCCTGCTCAATGAGGATGATCCAGTAGTCCTAAGACAGTGTATCCAAGGAATGCAGGACAGACAGCGGGACGCATTTCCTTTCGGGGATAATCTCATTGCACAGTTTTTCATTATTCAAAGTGAGCTGTCAGATCAGCAAAGAGAGAGACTGACAAGTGCAATGTCATTGAGAAACATCTCACTAGAAAACTACTCCTATGAAATGCTGAAGACGCACTACCATGAACTCTTCATCACGACGAGGACATCAATCCAAGATCCATCCATCCGACCTCAAGGAGGCAACCGAAGCAACACCTTCTTCATCGTTGAGCAAGGTGAATACGAAGGAGAAGAAGGCTTCTGGGTTGAGGATGAAGAAGGACTTGAAGGATTCATGTCAAACAACGATGAAGAGACGTTCTGGGCCCTCGAGGAGAACGATGCGTTCATAGCAAGAAAAGTGTCGGGGCGGAACTTCAAGTTCAAGAAGAGAAAAGGAAAAGGAAAATCAGGAAACAAAAGGGGCAGTCACCAACGAGGTGGCTTTAAACCCTTCAGAAAAAGCGGTTCTGGCGGAAAGGCCAATATGGCCAACGAAAACTATGATCCCTACGACCAGGCATATTGGGGAAAAGGCAAAGGAAAGAAGGGAAAGAAAGGAAAATCAAAATTCCAATATCCCTATGATGGAAACAAAGGTTATCCATCCTATGAGAGTGGCAAAGGAAAGAGCGGACAGGAGAAAGGAAAATCCAAGACGTTCGCAGCCACCGCAGAGAAGACGGAGGAGCAGCCCGCCATCCAGCAGACTGCACCATCCATAGAGCCTACCTATGCCGGTTGGACAGACCAAGACTGGGATCAATCATGGACATGGAACGAACATGGCTGGTACTCATCCCATGAGACATCCAGCACAGGACAAGCGTTAATGGCATTCCGTGTTGCTGTGAGCATCCTGGGAAAAAGGCCATCCACGAGAAGCTGATCCAATCAGATACAGTTTCAGAACACAATCTGTCCGTCACAACAAATCACAGCCTTCTGGCAACAAAGCTGATGGCGCCTGTCATCAACCCTCAGCACAACCCGACCTATGCGATTCTGGACAATGGATGTACCATCTATGGGCAGCTGGCATGCAATCCAGCGTTTTACTCAGGCCATCGAACGAATGAAGGACATCATCTCCTATGAGTGCATCCCGGCCGAGACCAAGTTCACTTTTGCAAACGGAGAGACCGCCAGGGTAAATTGGACCCTGCATCTTCGATATCGCACAACTCCTCCATGCAGTACCAACATCGACGTCCTTGAACAAGGAACTGTACCGATCCTTCTCAGCGTCAGCCAGATGCGGATCCTCTACATGACCATCGAGCACACACACCTCAATGTGACAAGATCACATGCAAAGCCTTTGGCATGAACCGTCAAGCAGTTCCAGTATCCGGTACAGGACATGCACTCGTCGATCTCGCTGGAGTTGCAAGAGTGAAGGCACATGGAGAAATTGCTCACAAGGGCCTCACCAACTATGTCTATGACGATGATAACAGCATCAAGTTTCCCTCCGGGGATCTCACCAGGAGCGAAACTGTTTGTGCAGCAAAATCATCCGAGACAAAGGAGGACCTAGCAACTCCTAAGATCATTGGGTCTCAAAAGCAGGACCATTGGATCCTTGACAAGAAGAACAAGCAGCTCATCCGTGTGCGCATCACGCCCCGAAAGGCGCTGTTCACACCAAATGGAGCCAAGGAATGTCCAATCACTCCTGATCACATTAGCCGAGAACGTACTACGGAAATCATTGATGCATCCGCAGGTGGAGATCCAGACATTTTAGAAGACAACTGGAGACTTACATCCCAGGCAAATAAACCGATGATTAACCGGTGGACAGGTAAGACCATTTTCACCTTCGCGGACAATTCGCTTAAGGACGAAGAAGCAGGTTCAGGATCGGCAGCAGACAGGATCATCGACAAGAGGGGCCGGTCGACTATTGAGCCAGATCCTTTCGCACCATCCTCAGAAGAACCAACATCGCTTCCGCTTGCCCTAGGCAGAATACACAAGCGATTGTCAAATCCCGAAGAGTTGAAGAAACTCCACCTACAGCATCGTCACATGACAACAGATCAATTTCAATTTAGATCCCGAGCACTTCATTTGCCGAAATCAACATTCGATCTATTTGACAAAATCCGAAGTGAGTGTGGAGTTTGCCAAGCGGCAAAACATGCACCATCACGAAGCAAAACAAGTGGACTTCGAGCGGACACCTTTGGTGACATGACATTCATTGATCACTGTCAAGTTCCTCTTGGAACAGGAGAACACATCATTGTTTTTGTCATCCTGGATGGAGCAACAACATTGCTCACCGCAGAGGCAGTGACAACTACGCAAGAAGTCGAGAACATCACTGTCCTCAGGAACTATTTTGACCAGTACCACTTGCAGCCCAAATCAGTTGTCGCAGATCAAGCCTGCATGACAGATACATGGGAACATTTCTATCAGTCCCTTGACATCACACCGATATCCTTGGGACCGAATACACCATGGCCAAATCGAGCTGAAGCAGCAGTTCGACTCCTGAAGGCACAACTCAAGATCATGCTAAGTTCCATCAAAGCAGGTACAGCACCTGCAACACTGAAGAAAGTGACATACAGGCAGCTAGTGAAGGCCGCTGCAACTGTCAGGAATCAGACCGTCACCTACGGGGGTGTAACACCATTGGAGCTCGCATTCGGAAGACGACCAGCAGATCTCATCCAACTCGATGTCGCAGCACCAACTCAGTTGACGATTGACAGGAATGAAGAAGAGCTGACAGCCATCCAGATCAAGCAGCTGTCAAAGCAAGCTTTCCAAGAAGCACGTCAATCCGAGGACATCCGACGAGACCTTGCTCAAAATCTCCGAATGAGTTCAAAGCCTCTTCAGGTGAAGGACAAGGTATTCTACTGGCAGGAAGACAAATCCAAGATTCGTTCCGATGGAAGCAAGGGAGGAATATGGCTAAAAGGG